CCAGGGGGATACCTCTGGTCCCAGCTACTTGAGTGGCGGAGGCAGGAGACTCGCTTCAGCCCAGGAGTTGGAGGTTGCTGTGAGCTATGATGCCACGGCACTCTACCCAGGGGGACAGCTTGAGGCTCTGTCTCAAAAAAAAAGAATTAGCATTTTGCTAAAGAAATTCAGATGGGTGTATTATTGGAAAATGTTTAATTTCTTAATATGTACAGAATCAAGCATATTTTAGAAAGTACTTCAAAGCTGTAAGTGACAATGATACTTTTAAGTATCAATCTTTGTGATTGTAAGCTTAAAAACTTATGAATATTATTTCATCAGTTCAATTTTTCAAGGATTGAAGAGAAAGCATTTTTACATTCACTCATTCAGTAAACACTTAGCACCTACTACTTCCAGCTGTGCTAGGTACTAGAAATATTGTTAAAGAACAAATCTGATAATAAGTGTGTTTCTGATTTCTCCACTATCACTTTCTCCAATACCCTCTTTTCTCCACCCTGTTTCTATTTTGGAACTTGATGCAGCATATATAACTAGAGAATGATTACGTAACAATTTCAGCTCACATGGATTGTGACAACTTAACAAAAGAAGAGGACACAGAATTGAACATGGGAATGTGACAACCTAGAAAGTAAGAACAGGCCAGAAAATGATCAATTCAAAGTCTAAAGGTTAAACATGGTTTTAAGTATAACTGTTTTATTAAAAAAATCAATGATAACATGGCTGTTCAAAAAAATCAGTGAAATATTCTAATAAAAGATAAGTCTGGAGAATACTTCTGTATTTAAGTTTTTTATTACTTTTGTGTATTTTATGGGGTTGCTATTGCCATATATATGTATGTGTAGAGGAAGAGAAAAAAGAGAAAGAGAAAGATACAGTAATACTGAGAATGAAATAGTAGGACAGGAAATCAGAATCACAGTACTAGAGCTGTCCTTTGGTGCCCTCTTTAGAGAATAATCTGAGAATGTACAGTAGAGTTATCCTATAAACTACTTCATACATAGTTTGCTAGTGTTAAGCCAATAAAGATCAGTGTGGTACCATAGAAAAAATTATCCAGTGTTCTACTTTCTCCTTTAAATGAGCATCATCTTAGCAAGGTCTTACCAGATTCAGATTGGAGGAAATCATCTCTGTCATGGATTTTTTTTTTAGCAAGGTTTTGTTTTTGTTTTTTTTTTTATCACAAGGTTCTCCTTCAAATGACTTGAGGCTTGAGATATTTTCATTCTCAAGTGTCTGCTTATAAGGCTGTTGTATTATCTGGCCAGTGTGTTGGTGCTAGAGCCATCTAAACCCTGAGACCCTTACTATGCTTTCCTTTCCTCTTTAACAGTGTTTTCTTTTCCCCACTGCAAAACCAGGCTCGGCTTCCCTCGTGCTCATCTACCTATAGTGTATCTGAGGTATATTTTGCATGTGTTTTCTTACATGATCAACAACATGCTCGCCCTCACCATTTTTCTTATTCATTTTCCTTTTGCCTCAATTTATTTTGCCTTGCACTTTGCACTTGGCTGAAAGGGATGAGGGTACCAAAGGGGAAAAGACATCTGTTTTAGAGGGAAATTTCTATATTTTTATGATACACTGTTGTCTAACTTTATTTTTTAGCAGTCACAGTATCACATTGAAATGGCTAGAGCCCAAATAGACAACTTGATTGTTACAACCACCTAATTCCATAAAGATTTCCTTTGAATCAGGTAATTTATTTTTAAATTCATATTGGCTAAAGACAAGATTCTAGTTTGTTCAGCTATGTATGTCTGTCTCTGATAGCTGAAGATTTGCATTAAATTGGTGATACTCTTGTCCCATTAATCACAAATGCAGGATAGCTTCTGAAAATGATTATTGAGTGAAAACTAAATATAATTCCCTATTTTTGTGTAAAGTAGAAGATTTGTTCTTTTTCAAAGAATGTATTAGGTTATTCAAATAATTTTTGCTACTAGTATCTTAATAACATTCTTATCATCTAGAAGAAATTATCAGTCAAGAGATTCATGATCATTTAACAAAATTATTTTATATGAAATTTGACCTATGTTCTTTGTTTTGGGGGAGAGTTTAATTTCTTATGGTGTTAAATCATAGTGTAAATATATTTTCTTATTTTTGGAAAGCAGATTTTTTAAAATAGTAGCAGACTATTATCTATTAAGACTACTTCCAAAGCAGGGACATTATTGAGTAGCTA